TCCCAAGCCTTATCTCCCTTGTACGGCTGGGCCTCGAGCGCAAACCGGGTGCAGGCATTCTGCCCGTTGGAGCCATTGTTGGTGATCGCACCCGTAGTGCCGTTGGTGTACTCGGTCCAAACCTTCCACTGCTTGGCGTCCTTGTCGACGGAGCACAGCCACAGCGTCAGGAACGGGTTGAGGAAGCCGTCCTTCATGATGGGGAGGTCGGTGAGCGAGCCGTCGGGGATGTATCCGCTGTGCGGGATTGTGTAGGTCAGCTGGCCCTCGGGGGAGATGTAGACTGTACACAAAAGATATTAGCTAACGCTGCCAGATACTATGGGGGAGGAAAGGCGAGCATACCCTGCTGACCGCCGGGCACAGCGGCATTCAGGAACAGCTTCGAGCCCTGCGAGACGAAGGAGGTGGTGTTCACGGCTGGGCAGTCCTTGATGTTCTCCGGGCAGGAGGAGAAGGTAGGCTTGCCGCTCCAGAAGGCGCCGGCGTTGGCGTTCAGGGGGCCCTCGAGGGTTCCCATGCTGTTGGACCAGCGGACGTTGAGGGTGAACGGTTCCTGTTGTTGCTGTCCCTGGGCGGTTGCGGCGCCGAGAAGGGGAGCGAGAGAGAGGACGGTGGTGAGCTTCATTTTGGTAGCTTGTCGATTGACTGTGTAGTAGTGTTCGTTGAGATGAGAGGTGCTGATGATGATGGTGATGTTGAGATGCTATCTACAGAGCTCCTGAAGCTCCTTATATACCCCGTGTTCTCCTATGTCTCGGAGGCCAACCGAGGAGTAAGATGGTCTGCAGAGTCGAGGCGATAGTATCATCCATCTCCAGTTTTTCTCCACATCAAGTGAGACATGAGGTCATTTGTATAGTGGCGATGCTAAGAATATCCCCGCCAAGGAGGATGCGTTCTTCACAGGATGGTTAGTCCCTTGTTTGGATGCTATTAAAATCAGACCGCTAGACAGCTACATTCAAGAAGGAAATCATGATGGAGATCCGGTGAGATCCATCGATTTGAGGATGAAGGAATTGTTGCTGTCTCAAACATGGACAATAATGACCAGCGGGGAGGCCGAATTCTGCAGCCTTGGCCGTTGAGCATCAGGGATGTGTGACTGCAGAATTGTGAGACATTTGTGTTTCATTTTCATGGATTAATCCTGCTGGTTCCTCGGCGCAAAACGGTCTCTTGGCTGCCTGGAAACAGACTCCGAGCTCTTCATTCTGAGTATTAATATGTGTACACATCAAAGAGGGTATAGGTATCACGTCTATCATAGGAAAGGAAAGTAATGGCGCAGCTTCGCCCGCATTATTCAATGACTGTCGTCGCTCAAGCAAAAATGCAATGTTGCAATATGATCTATGTTTGAATCTGTCCTCGAGGCGGAGCTCGGCACAGGCATGTTGTAAAGCTGTCGTGAAAGCAAAATCAGACTGTATTTCAGTCAGTGAGCAGCGATTTTGTGCCCTGCAACAAGGACTCTTACTATATAACGAATGTCAATGATCGATAAATGATGTCCCAAAGGTCATATCCAAGCTCTAAGCAGCCTTTGCCTCAAAGACTTTGGTCGGCTCAGTCGGCTCAGATGGCACACTGCTTTTCTGGTCGACAAAAGTTCGCTCCAGCTGGGCTCTCTCTTCATCGGTCGCATCGGTGAGATGAACGGCAACTTCTTCGCCAAAGTTCTTCGCGATCTCTTCCAAAGTCAAGCGTGCGGTCTCCGGGAAGAAGAAGTAAATGACTTTGAGGCATTAGTGGATGTTCGTCGAGCACTTGCGTGTCCGTCTTACCTGGAATGAAGAATGCAGACCAGCAGATGATGACAAGGTAGTACTTCCAGCCAATATTGTTGAAGCCCATAGGGGCAGTCTCAAGCAAGATCAGGGTAGCTGCATCCTTGTTAGTTGCTGTTCGGACCATACAACCGAGATAAACATACCGGCAAACTGCCCGAAAAGGGAGAATCCCATGCCGATGGGTCTGATCTCGGTTGGGAAGATCTCAGAGACATAGAGATACATGGTCGTGTCGCAGAAAGTTCTGTGCATCGGTTAGTGTCGCACAGCACAAGCACTGCGGAGAAACCTACCCCTGGAACGCCAGGTAGAGATATATGAACAGAATACCAAAGGCGTTTCCGGCCTTGTTTGTTGTGCCCGCATATTCGGCGGTCATTGCAGCCAAGCATGAAGTGGTGATAATGATTCCAACGAAACCGGTGATGTACATACCCCGCCGCGAGTTGACCTTGTCATGAAGCCAAGCACCCAAGGGATTGTAGATAAGACCTGCAGGGGTAAGCTATGCGCTCAAACCTGACTGACATGTACTCACCAGCTGTTGTCAACCACACTGCGCTCAGAAGCAAAGGCATACCGCCCTTCATGCCGAGATTTGTGTATAGCAAAACCGCGTAGTTGTTCTGTCAGATTGTAAGTGCTTGATTCAATCTTGACAAGCAGGATACTAACAATAATCAAGGGCCCACCAAATTCTGCTCCCCACTGAGTTAGGAACCCGATGGCCATTCGCTTTCTGTACGACTTCTTCTTCACGACTGCTTTCCACACATTGCCGTACTCGGACAGCCTCTCAGATTCCAAACGAATCTGTTCTGCAGTCTGATAATACTCCTCCTTAGCGACGAGGTTGTCCGGGTCGTCGGGGGACTGACGGAGCCGCTCCAAGACGACCTTGGCTTCCTCGTGTTTGCCCTTTGAGATGAGCCAACGGGGAGAGCGCGGAAGCCATGGAGATCCGATGAGGAGCACAAGAGGCGGCAGACACTGAAGGGCCAGCGGGAACCTCCAGCCGAACGAACCAATGTCCTTGGCATAGTAGCATGCGAAACCAACCCAACCAGAAAGCATATAACCAAACACCAGGAAGATCGCATGATGACCGACAAGCCAGCCACGGCGAAACGCGCTCGACATTTCAGAAAGGTACATGGGACACACCGTGACTAGGATACCGATGCCGAGACCGCAGACGAACCGACCCGCTTGGAACATTCTGCGGGATGTCAGCTATGCCTTGACCAAGAATGCGGATCAGGACATACTCGAGCGAGTTTGCGCCAGCCTGAAGCGCGCCACCGAAGAGGGAGAAAAAGGCACCGAACTGGATGTTCACCTTACGACCGAAGTAATCACATGACCACATAATGAACAATGTGCCGACAGCACCTCCGGCGCTGAAGACACCATTAGCTGTAGAGATAGCCGGCGTTGTGATCGAGGCATATCCCGGTTCTCCCTCGGCAGGGAGCTTGAAAAAGCTATACCATCCCGGCTGCCCGATTGTACTACCGATGATGGAAGCACAGTAACCATAGGTCTGGAGAGCAGATTAGCCGACGCAAAGATGGCCCGATATAGCCCAGACATGCAGGGTACTGACCAGTGACCCAACGGCTACAAATATAGTGACCAGCCTGTTATAGGTACTGGTCTGTGAACCGAAAGTCCCCATACTGTGTCAAAATTGATTGATACACAAAGCTATCCAAGCTGAGCCGCAAATGCAGGAATTGACCCCTGCAAAAATGACCTGTATCACAAAGAAGAAAAGAGATTGCGGGAAGCGGAAAAGACCGGGCGGGCCTTGTACGAGGGAACTCGGACTCCTAGCTTCACAGCAGTTTCGATTCAGCCCCTCACTTAGACTGTTCAAGTACGGCTCTAGGTGGAAAAAGAAGGGATCAATATTGGGAGAAGTCAACGCCTGATGTAGCGTCCGCGTGAAGATAAGAAGTGATTCGCTTGTCGACACCGAAAATTCTGATACCGAGCACCAAGAATGCTCAGGACATTCAAGCCATGCATGCTGCCATAGTGTCCAATATCATAGTCGCGTCTCTTGCCCTGCATTAGCTCTGAAGAGACTGATTTGCGAGGGCGAACTGAGCTTTGAGCTCTCCCCTCTGCCTATCTGTTTGCACTTGCTCCTCGCTAATGCCCTTGAGAATGGCCTGATTTGAGTGAAATGACTCCATACTGTGTACCTCATTGGCCGAGCAGACGAGGGGTCGTGGTCCACTTGCTGCAGATTGATGAGAAAGGAAAGCTTAAACCTTGCAGGTACAGTGCAGAAAGTTGACTCCTTCGCTATTTGCGCATAGATTGCTGCTAGACCATCGCTAGACTGCAATTGTTAGTCATAGTACATTGTCCCACGCATCCAAGAAGATAGTCTGGCAATGATCGACTAAGACAGAGGCCAGAATTGAGTCTTGCTAAGACTTATTGGGGTCAGCTGTCGCAATGTAACCAATCATATGTTTTTATCATCTGCAGTCTCCGCCCTTTGACATCCGCCCCCACTCCATCCCGGTCTTTTGATTACATTACCTTACCACTGCTTGTATTGGCTTTACAACCCGGTAGTCATCGTGATGGAACTTGGCGCAATTCTCACCTTCCTCATATGCTCAAGAGCAATACACTACGCATTCCATAGTGTAGCTTGCTTTTCATTAATTGATTTGCTTAGTATGTTCTAGAGAAGACTATTGATAAGGGCCATGCTATGCAGATCAAAGTGTCATGCTGTGATCCGATTGCCTCAGGAGTCAGGACTTGAATCAATCGCAAGAAAACTCAAGAGTCAAGAGTACTCCGAGTCATGCGCATGATGAGCTCAGAGGCCCAAATGCACTAACGAGAGGATTCTGGATTTTATAATTGGCGCTCAACTAGCGCATAAATTCCAAAGTGGCTTCCAGATGCCGCGTCTGAACACTGTAGTCTGTACTCCGTAGTTCGTACTTTGAGCCTAAGTTGTGTTGAGTGCTGATGTCGCTTTATCTGATTCAATCCTAAGACTAGGACCGGAAATTCCCCTCCTTGACCCCTCCATCGCTTGATAATTCCTCCGGCTAGTGCGCTATAGAAGTAGAATGCTGCAGAACCCTGCACGCTATAGACCTTAAGATTAACGTTGAATATAGTCTTGTCTTCAATTTATCTGATCCCAATTCATCTCTAGAGAATCGCATCATGGGAAGTCACTCTCCCTGGGATACTCCTTTCGATGAACTCCCCAACCCTAAACAAGTCTGGGTTGGGAAGCCGGGGAGTCATGAAGAGGGACTAGGAAAACTCGCCATTCTAACCCCAGAGGTAGTGGCCAAGGCAGCGGCAGCTGAGATCAAGACCGGCCGACGAGTCACAATGAACTGGGATATGACAAAACTTGACTATCCGAATTTGAACCGACAACCCTGCAATCATCAGATCATTCCGCTGCTTGGCGGGGTTGCTTTTGATGATATATATACTATGAATCCTCGTAGGTCTTACCAGGCTTCGATTTGAATGTGAAACTAACAGTCATTACTCTAGAGCAGAGTAGTCAATGGGATGGATTAAGACACTTTTCTCAGACTGTCCCTGGGCAGAAAGAGCGTGTATTCTATGGCGGCACGACGGTTGAGGAGATCAATGACCGTAAGAACGACCGAATTGGTCTGCAGCACTGGGCGAAGGAGGGCATTGCAGGTAAGCTTCAACTCGCATGTCAGTGGAACCTGGTTGCTGAGTATGAAACTAGGACGAGGAGTCTTGATTGACTACGCGACATGGGCAGAGAAGAAGGGGATCAAATATACCACCTTCTCAACGCACCAGGTCCGCTTGTCGGACATCTTGGAGATTGCCAAAGAATGCAACATCACATTCCAAAAGGGCGATATCCTTTTTGTGCGGGTCGGGGTCACCAAGGAATGGGATACTATCATGACCGATGCGCAGAAGCAGCAGTATTCGGATAATCCGAGCCCAGAGCACGCCGGAGTCGAAGCAACCACTGACGTGCTTCGATGGTTGTGGAATACTGGTTTTGCAGCTATCGCTAGTGATGCGATCAGCTGGGAGGTGAGACACGACCGTTGAACCAAAAACCTATGTGGACTTGGCTGACGCAAGGTGATATGACAGGTCTATCCGCCCCAGAACCCTGATGTGTTCTTGCATGAGTATGTGCTTGCCGGATGGGGAATGCCAATTGGTAAGCCAACCCTCTAAACGCGGAGACAACAGCTCAAAGTGGAGTGCTAACGGGTTGATGTTACTGATAAACAGGGGAGCTTTTCGATCTGGAAGCGCTGGCGAGCACATGCCAGGAGCTCCAGCGCTGGAGTTTCTTCGTCGCCTCGGTGCCTTTGAACATGCCTGGTGGAGTGTCGTCTCCTCCGAATATGATGGCAATCTTTTAGATTACTGGTAGGGAAAAATCGACTGATCCTTAAGAGAAGTTTGAGGATGCCAGACTACGTAAGGCAACTACGTAAGGCCGTGGTATGACATGTAAACCACAAGCCCTAATGACAACTAATAAGTCTAACATGAAGCATTGCAATCGATTCTGTATCAGATTCATGATGATGCCCCTTACTCCGGAGTAGTTCCTACGCAGTCTGAAGCCGATGTACACAGGAGGCTAGTCGGTCGCACGCAGTACGTACTACTCACCGTTCGGGCTTTAAATACCGATATGAACACAGTCACCGGTCCACTCCCCGATCCCGGTCGAGACTATCTCTGGTGTATTTTGATGGTGTATTTGCAACAGTCAGAAAGACCTTTCTGTCCTGGACAGCTGGAATAGGAGAAATCCATGCCGTCTCTTTATTACTCCAAGTGATAACTCCAAGTAATAGTTCCAATCGATAGCTTCAAGTGAACCCCGAATGAAAAACCACAGTTAGACATTATGAGCTTCGTGTGGCAAAGAAGACAGCGACAACCTTCAGCAGTTCATGCCTGGACCTGCCTGGCATATAACGGGTCCACAGTCTCCCTATTTCCTGCAGGCTGAAAATTTTAAACCGCTACAAACACGCGACTGGACCTTGGCAGTCAGAACTTTCCTCGTAGTTTCGGGCATTTAGGACAGACTCCGGCGTTGACACCAGGTAAAAGGGGCCTGTTTCATCGGAATTACGATGACAATTGGCGCATTCCCCCATATTGCAGAGTAGTTGTAGTAATAGTAGTACAAACTGGTACACTGAACCTGTTCCAGCACCTAAGAGAGACTGAAGAACGACACCTCGGAAGCAAGGTGATCTTCGATTGTACAGAGGAGAAGCCTGGAAAACGGCCCCATGCCCTGAAACCACGCCATTTTGGTTTGTGATGGTGGATCCGGCAGTTTCTGTTCTTCATAAGTGATCGACAAATGTCAGGCAGGTTAGAGTTTATCGTCCGAAACTAGTCGTAATAGTAGTGAGACTACTGCTGCACTTGAAATTTGTCCATTTCTCTGGAGAAATGTGCTCAGTATCGTCCGTCGAGAGTCACACATTTGAATGCTGAACGAAGAATGCTGATGGCAGAAAATAGTTGTCATATTATATGCTGAAAGTATAAGCTCCTAAGCGAATCTGACAGATTATATCTCCGTAAACTCTGGTAAATTGGTTTCCAATGATCGACCGTCACCAAAGTTACTGCTGTAATACCAAAGCTTACCGTTTCATCCATCGCCGGTGAATGGTAGCTCACGTTTCTTTATCCCAATTAGGAAAGGACACGGCCTAAAGGCGGCGCGGTGGCGGCAAGTGGGGTCCGATCCCCGCTATGGGGTAAGCTGGTATCAAGGCTGCCCCTATTGTTGGTCTTAAAAAAAAAGATCTTTCGTAATGATAACTACCTGACGAACAGGGGTACGAAGCTTGCATGATAATGCCTTTGTCAGAGACACATCAAAGACCATTGTTTTTTGTCTCATTTTCCCTTCTTCATTTTCTTCTCTTTTCTTTCGTTTGACTTTGCCTTTTCTTGTGGTGGGGGCCGGAATGGGTGGCTGTTGTTGGGGTTTTCCCTCTTTTGAATCGACTGCCATCGGCCCATGCTTTGCACGGTTGCACTTTGTGCTACCACGGCTCTGCTATCTCGATGAAAGCCATCAAAGTACCACAGATCTCATCTTAGATGCATGGACCCTTGAAACCGGCAATATAAGTATATGAATAGGGTCAGATCTCCAGCAAGAGTGAGGTTTCCGAAGTTTCTCTGTGGTGGAGGACGAAAACCAGCCGCTCAATCAAATTGATTAAAACAGTCATTTCCACGACTGTTTAGCCCTGCTCTGAGCAATTCTTAAAACCAATCAATGATTCTTGGCCGATAGCCTCGACTCTTCTCTTTGGATAAGCCCGTCCCGCGTATCTAGGCAGTCTCTTCGCCGACTACCTACAGTAGATAGCCTGACTGTCTAAGACCAGCCAAATCCTGTCCAGATCCTGAGTGCCAGAATACAACTTCCTAGGTTGACTTCATTAGATCGTTCTTGGCATGTTAAACGTCCTGCCGTATATGGGAACGGTCAAAGGTTTAACTGAAAATATAGTTCAGCATGCTCATGTCTGACCAGAGGTAGATAAATCTCGTCAATGCTGTCCTGCTTCCCCTGCTGACAGACCATACTTGCCTCCATCCTATTGTGGAAATTTACAAGTCGGTAGGAACCCGACGCACTGTGGAGCATCTCATTAATTTGTCAATATAATTGTATCATTACAATAAATTCTCACCTCAATTTTGATGTCTAAACTAGATCACACAATACTTTTACTACCCTGATCGTCAATTACTTCATGTATTATCGTACGGCCGGACTGCAGGAACATTTCCAGCTAATTTCTGCAGGAACAGGCCAAGAGTTTCTGTGTCGACGTCGATCGTCAAAGTCTACCGTTCTGGTGGTGCTGGACAATAGACGACTCTCCCGATGGTCAGGGGTGTGGAGCTGGGGACTGCCAAATCGATCTTGAAGAATGGCGAACCAACAGAGACAACGCTCTTAGATGAGAGTCTAGCGCATCTGTCATAGGTTAATTGTAGTCCACAGTTCTGTTTCATACAAATATCACTCCATGTGATCCATCAGGCCATAGATCCCTTTTTAATGTTCTTTTCTTTTTCGCGCTCAAGATTTCCTTAATCAGATCAAGAATTAGATCTCGTATCTCTTATTCAAGAGTACCGCGGGGCAGCCATTACCATGGCGCTCGCAGTGATGCTTGGGCGAGATGCTGGCGATTCCGTGGACAGGACAATGCAGAATTGGAATACGGCGACTCAGATACTATGCATTGTGGCCATGACTGTATTCTTTGGGTTACGTGTCTACACTCGAATATTCATTCTTAACGGGTTCGGGAAGGAAGACTGTGCGTGGCCAATAATTGCTTAACCAATGTGAGACACTGACCATCATACAGGGACTTGCATGGGCGCTTGGGTATACAATTTCCTTTGCCGTTGTAGCCATTCACTTATGACTTATCCATACTGACATGGGTGAGAGAGATAGTTCCTTGGAGTCATGTACTCTATCATCGCCCTCATCAGTTAGTATTTGAATTTCACTTGCAACTCTGGCTGCTAACAGCTCGCAGTGGGACATTACGGAGGCGGACTGCACCAGAGTGATGTGCCAGACTCCTACCTGATCCCTTTTCACAAGGTCTGGTTGCTTCCCCATCTTAGCAGATTCATCAGTCCCTAACCTCAACCCACCGTAGACCGTCTACGTGACAATGGTCATGTACGGACCGACGGCATTCCTGACCAAAATATCACTCCTCTGGATCATGACAAGAGTGTTCAGCCCCTATCGCAAAGCCGTTCTTTTCATCTACATCTTCCTGGTAATCATGCTTCTCTACTACATCCCCGCCGTGATCGTCAAAATCCGCATCTGCAAACCAATCGAAAGATTCTGGGACGAAAACGCAAACGGCACCTGTCTGGACCAGTCGGCAATCATCCTCGCCGACGCAGTCGTCAGCGTCGTCAGCGACATCATCATCCTCATCCTCCCGCTCCCGCTAACTCTGAGCCTCCAAATGGCCATGCGCAAGAAGCTGCGCGTGATGGGCATCCTCGGCGCCGGAGGCCTTGCCTGCGCATCTAGCGTAGTCCGTCTCATCCTCATTCTCAAAACCGGACAGTCCAAAGACGGGACTTATTCGTTTATGCGGATAAATATGTTTGGGTGTGTTTTCCCCCCTCTCCGCTTCATTTCCCCGCACCACACAAGCACAAGCACTAACAAGAATTTTCCTCTCGCAGAAACGCCGAAATCGCCATCGGGGTCATCTGCGCCTGCCTCCCCTCCCTCTCCGCTCTGCTCAGCCGAGTCCTCCACGAATACTCCAGCAACAACAAAGCAACCCATACCTCCACACACGAACTCAGCAAAGTGACGAAGCAGAGCCGCACGGATCGGAGACTCAGCCGCAGCAAACACCAGATGAGCTACTTGGATACCGCGTCCGATCAGGAGATCCTCATGCACAATGCGCAGGGGGATCCGAAGATCGAGACGTCGATTCGGGGAGATACATCGTCGCGGCGGGTTGTGCCGTCGGAGGCTATGGGTATCATGAAGACGGTGGATGTGTCGACGTCGGTGACGACTCACTAAGCGTCTGTCGACAGAAACTAAGGCGTTTACGTTTAGGGGCCGAAAGGAGGTACAGGCTTGGGTTGGTTAATATTGGCTACGCGGATGATACCCTCACCATCTTTCTTCTTTCTTTTCTTTTCTTACTTCTACCGATGAACATTCTATTACGAACATAACATTGTACTTATTCTATAAACGAGGATTGAACATACTTTGGAAATGAAATAATTAAGAATTACTCCTTCTGCGCCTGCCAAAGGGTAAGGACACTGGAGTACCAAAGACTGGTCAGACGACTAATCGGAATTGAAGCAGATCGGATAATCAAGCCTGTGCACATCTGTGAGACGACTGATATAAATAAAGCATAAACCAGGGGCTGGCCGACCTCAGTTTCTAATCATTCGTGGTAAAGTTACAGCTATGGAGTAACTCCGGTGTTGCGGGCTGCGGCCATCTTCCCGGGCAATGGTCCAATGGATATATGAGAGGAAATACCCCGCAGGGTTGGCATTGTCTGTGTCGTATCATGCCCCCTTCAACAGCGCCCAAGAGAGAAAATAGCTGCTTGTATTTGTGCCTGTAGATTCGAAAATATGTGGATCTGATGGGTTAGTTCAAGAAGAAAAGGGTGCAAACGGCTGATGCTGGGATGGGGACGACTCGGGAATCGGCATTGCGCCGCAATGTCTCCGCACGAGCTGACCCCTCTTTGCTATAGGCTTTAGGTATATAAATGGCGTTGTCCTTGCCTTTATTTATATGAGAGATACGCTGTACGACTGTCGATCTATCTTCGTTTAAGATACGCTGCAATCAAGATGACCAAAGCTCCAGCCGGTGCGCGTCTTCAGGGCAAGGTCGCCATTGTAACAGGTATTCCCTAGATTCCCAGAGCACCAATGCAATACCGTGAAGTCTCGTTAACCCAGGCATAGGAGGAGGCTCGGGCTTCGGCGCGGCCATATCTCGGCGCTTCGGTGAGGAGGGCGCCAAGGTGATTGTCGCCGATATCAATGTCGAGAACGGAGAGAAGATCGCCGCACAAAATCCCGAAAACCTGGTCTGCTACAAGATGGACGTCACGAGCGCTTCGGACTGGGACGAGGTCATGGATCTTGCCTTTGCCAAGTTTGGTCGATTGGACGTGCTGGTCAACAATGCCGGAACTACATACAGGAATAAGGTTCGGACTATCAGATGAACAACGGCTGGCCTGCTCCCGATGGGTGATGTCGGTGTGAATCTTATTGAGGTGCCCCTTGGCTGACGACCGTGCCCTACAGCCCACTTTGGAAGTCACCGAGGAGGAGTGGGAACGTGTGTTCAATGTTAATGTTCGGAGCATCTTCCTTGCATCGAAAGCATTGATGGGGCGGTTAATCCAGCAGGGCCAAGGAGGTTCTATGATCAACATCTCCTCCACTGGAGCCTCGAGGCCCCGACCGGGATTGGTGTGGTACAATGCATCCAAGGGCGCTGTTTCCAATGTAAGACTCCTGTGCTTGACTTTTGTTGAACTCTGCCGGCTGACAACAGTAGGCCACCAAAGGGCTTGCGGCTGAGTACGGCCCCCACAATATCCGCGTCAACACAGTCAGTCCTCTCTTGTCCGGGACGGGTCTATTTTCCATGTTCACTGGCATGGAGGACACGCCTGAGAACCGTGAAAAGTTTATCGGGAATGTGCCCCTCGGCCGGTTGACCGACCCAGATGATGTGGCGAATATGTGTTTGTACCTTGCGAGTGATGAGGGCAGTTTCATCAACGGCACGGAGATGATCGTCGATGGTGGCAAGTGTATATGATCTGAAGTGAATCATTTCGGTACGACGGATTCCGTCTGTGGTCACATTTCAAGAGTAAGGCCATGTAGCCGGATCCCATAATGACATATCTTCTTCCAACAATCCCATCATATGTTGGTTTCCAGAAAACCAGCTTCCCAGTTGTGTCTGTGGTATGACGCCAGCTGGAAGGTCATGTCCTTCCATACTATTCTCAAGTCCAGGCATAGACCTTGCTGCCAATGAATCCGACGCAGCAGTATTCCAACGGAAACCGCCGACTCCTGATGCAGGGGCCAGGCCAAGAGCACTCAGATATGTATCGAACTCCTGACCCACAGATGCTAGATCCTGGTTTTCCTGTATCTGGGCCTGTGCTTTCGCCTCTACATATAGCGTCGCAACGTTGCTGAGTACTTGACAAAGACTATGTAGTTTCGTGATGGCCTCGGAAAGGAAACAGTTTGGTCCGAGTGAGGAAACGAAGTCTTCTAGTCTCGCGAGATCGTCTCGAGAGGAAGTCTCAATGACGTGGCAAAAGATAACTATAAACGGGACAAACGGCGAGTAGAGGATGGACCTGAAGAATCATCAGAAAATGGACATCTTTTCGTCAAGACAACACAAGACACACTCACCAATGGAGATATGAGCATTTCATAGCCTCGTTACTTTCCCTTAAACTTGTCATGCAAACCTGATGCGACTCCAATGCAGCCCGTGCCGTCTCTATGCATTCGGGTACAAAAGTAGTGGCGGATGCCCCTGATGCAGGAATCGCTCTGTAGATTAAAGTCAATATAGCCAACCTGCTGACTTCATCCGATTTAATCAAGAAGCCTTCAGTCTCCGATAGAGGACGTGACGACCTTTCGAGCTCCTAGGGATCCGTCAATCAAAAAGCTTCCCTTGTGGTAACTTGATCTCCACGGAATGCCTACCTTGAATGGCTCCATGACGGCTACTTCCATCTCCGACGCCAATTGACGAGCGCAAAGTACCCTTTCGCGTTCCGGTCGACTTAAAGCCGCCGGACTGTAAAGCTGCTCGTAGACCTTTCCTTGAATCTCGGCGATCTTCACCCATAGATGATACATTGTTCTCCAAGGTTCGTCGACTTTGAACCCTCCTAAATCCTCAGGGATGGTAATAATAATATCAAAATCCTGTATAGATGATGCACGCCCTAGTCTGAGTGAAAGAGCCTTGTCGAGACAGTAAACACACAAAAAGAGCGAAAGCGCTTTTACTTTCTCATTATCGCTAAACTGACTCATCGATGAACTCCGGTGATATCCAAGATTCTGACACAGCCGAGCTGCATTTGACGTCAGCGTCCAGGCAAACGAAGGCTTGGATGTTTCAATGGCATGAATAGCCTAAGAGACGGAACGGTTAGTTGACTTGGCTGAGCAACAGCGGGCGCGAATAGCTTACTCCCAAGGTAAGCGCTTCAATTAACTCCGATCTTGCCGGCATCAACAATGTCAAGCTTGCTAGCACGGTTTCGAAATTTTTCCGGCAAAGCTGGATGTACTTCTGGTAATCGTCTCGAATCCGTGGACTTTCCGCAAGGAAGCTATACTCAAGAAAGATATGATACAAGCCGCAATTGACTACCATGAAAGTGGCGTCAGAGTAATCTTCTGTTGCAAAGTACACCTCGCGGCATTTCTGGATAAAGTCATCAACACTGAGGAAAGGAAAGTAGCATGCGAAGGCCAAAGGGATATTCTCTAGGTATGCGTCAACCCCGGTCACTCTGATCATAAAAGCTTGGAGAAAAGTACCTTTTATTTGGCGCAAAATTGGCAGAACCACCTCAATTGGGGGCATGACCAGGTCTCGCAAGTTCGAACCTCGACAGCTTTTCTGATTCGGCAATGGAACATCTTTTGACGAAGACCCAGGTGGTTGACTCTGCATGTTCACGATTTGCCTTAGTGCCGCGAGCGCTGCATTGATCTTCGGGGTAGAAACTTGAGGCGCGCTTCGCGAAACGACGGTCTCTAGAAACGCACTTGCGTAGGCGGAATGAGCCGCGAGGGATGAGTTGCCCTCAAAGCCAGTACCAGACTCATGTTCCAACGCGGCTGTTGTATTGGAAGCAAAGCCAGATGTATCTGGAGACATTTGCTTCGAGGCAGGAGTCACGTGGTAGCACGGCTCAGCAGTATTGGAATTGCGAGCAAGGCTAGATTTCAACTCAAGAAGGACTTCTTCAATATTACCCAGACGTTCCTCGATAAGATCGATCTTCTTCTCGCTGTAGCAAGTCAGACAAGAGCATCGACAGGCCAAGTGCTTCCTACTCACTACTGGCTGGAAATTAGAACCCGTCTGCGATCCTCCTTGGGTTTCTGCCCTGCACCTGTTGAGCGGCAGACGATTCCTGCACTGCGACAATTCGAGCATGGTGACCCCTTATCGCAGCGTACCTGTCGATAGTACGGATGGTCAATTCGAAAAACAGCAATATGATGTGGCCCTGTGGCCCCAAGCGCTCAGGGCATCAATTCTTCTATCAGCATACCTTTCTGAGACGACATTGGTCACACTGCAGCTCGTTAGCGGAATGCCAATCCCTTGCATACTACCCTACACTCACCGCACGCTTGTTGAGAAGCTCCTTCCTGTCACATTCGGCTCCCTCGGCCTCCATTTGTTGCTTGTCACCCATATCGACTCTAGATAGACTAGTATCTTTGTCGGCACTCGGCACATATGAGGTAAAATATAAAATACTCTTGCTATCGTGAAATGCGAATTGTGTTGCCTTGGATGTTGGACTGACAGTGGCGTCGGAACCCGCGGACTCCGAAAAGGCGGGCACCCAGTTCAGTCATCACTTTGCTTACTACGTCTTCTTAGGGTACCACACTATTCCTAACAAGTTAACGATGTCAACTGCACCAAATACATCTCTGAATGAGGGGAGAAATTGACACATGCATCTCGAGGGATAACCACATCGGAAGAGAAGCAAGCATCCGTTTGCTCATTTCCTCGTTAATGCATTGGTATAAAGTCTCAAAGGAACTATATCGCACTCTATGTCTATACAGTCATCAATCGTACCTCTATCCTTCTTCCACAAAAATGATGAAATAAAACTCGGGAGACCTCTAGCTGGCCGTCGCTCTGTTGGGTTCGCAGAAAATGCAGGGACTACTTTTATGTCGCCTCGCGGTATTGTACGAGCATCCGGCCTCCGCATCGCGATGAGCCGCCTTGAGGAGCTCGTCTCTGCTCCATGCTTTGTGCCTGGTCCAGCTTACGAGTGAGAACGCCGAATATGCGTCATGAAGGGGAATGCGACCGCTGCCATGCTAGGCGGATGACCATGAATAGCTGTCGGCCAAATGCCTCGCGGCGAATCGTCAAAGCGTGTATGCGTCATGACTTCTGCCAAATAACAGGTCATGGGATCATTTCTTAATTCCGATCACGGCGAGATTCCTAGGGCTTTCGCTGTATTCGAAAACAGGCTCAACCCAGCAATCCTTGACAGTGTCATGCTCACGCAGAAATTGCCACCGGTCCACGACAATGAGGGCCTCGACAAGTGCTGAACTGAAAGCCATCAGAGCCCAAGTGACACTAAGATGCTTCTTTCGGGGCCAATATTCCGCTTCATAGCGCTTCACTTCTTCCTCTGTAATGCCGGCCATCCTTGCCTTGACCTTCTCTCCATTGTGCGGGTCCTTACCCAGCTTAGCCACTGCAGCATGAACGTATGCAGAAAACGACGTAAAGGCGGCCTTTCGCAACGAACCGACAATCAAAGGATTTCCTACCGCGTCAGGGCCGCCAGTCTCCAATCCATAGAGATCCGTCGGGTTAACGGGTTTCTCTACCACGCCACGGTCGACAAAAATGCGCTGGAGAAGGGCTCGGTAGAAGTGCCGCGTGAAGAACGCTTCGCTATCTTCTCTGCCCCAGTTGTAGGGTGCTTGTAGAGACATCGAACGTGCGGTGATATTCAGTTTCACGCCAGTCCCACTGACATGTTCATACGATTCCAGACGTTTCGACATGGGGAACCCATGAGGGTCATACGCACAGGCATCTTGGGTCAAGCGAGGATGTTGAGTGCGGAGGATGGGGACCTTGTATGTGGCCGGGCCCAGCCTTTCAGTCACCAAGTTATAGCAGCATCCGATCATTGCGATAGCTTTGACAGACGGGTTGAGAACTAAAGATCTGACACCATGATGAAGAAGGTTGCCACATGAATGAAGGGAAATGACCATGACGTTAGGATCCCCTGCCTTTCCCTCAGGTCTTGAGTTTCGGTCAATGACGGAGCCTTGGGAGCCTTCGGTCTCCAAAGATCGAGATTTGATCACATCCTTGATTATAGGCTCCAGGTATCCGTCTTTGATTTCGTGCTCGATGTAATCCATGGCTCCTCTGTGCACAAGTTCATCTTCTTTCTTGTCCACAAATTTCTTGGGTGGCCCATTCTTGTAAGGGCTAGTTCCCCACTCGTCCGGTTGGATATCAATGTCCAGCAAAACATTGAAAACCGTGCTATCTTCACCGTCACCAGCGCCAGGCTCGGTGGAAGCATCATTAGGTACGTTTTCAACTAGCTCCACCTCAGGAGTGGACGGCGTCGTATCCTGATCATTCTCCAAGCCCTTGCGGTTCCTCCTGCCATTGGTCTTGTAAACGATTCTCTTCTGTTTCTTCGCTAGTTTTGCATGAATATCCATACCCTTCGCGCCGCTGATAAACTGGTGTTTGCGTTCGATTGCAATTATATGCCTGCTGTAAGGAGGGCTCGCCAGCGTCCGTCCAAGATAGTTCTGGCCTGATCCGAAGTCGACAATGTGCGATATAGCCTCGCCCCGTTCTTCCGCAACGGTGTCACATAGATCGTTAACATATTTGGAAAAGTGCGCAACCTCGTGATATTTCTTCTGATTCATTCCCACCGAAAGATGGTGAGGTAGCGACACCTTGCCAGACTGTCTTGATGTGAAATCTCTCCCCAGGCTGAGACGACGGATCTGATGAATGTATTCAAGGAGGTCGATTGGAGGGAGAGGCTGCCCTCTCCAACTAGCCTCTGCATCTCGACTCGGATCGCTTTCAGAGAACTCGCGACTCTGCTGCAACAGCGGCGGTATATCTTCTCTCAACAATAGGTCTAGTATATCTTGAATGTCGTGCTTCTCGAAGAATGTCCGCCAATCCAGTGGCAGAAGTGAATCGTACAAATCGGGTTCGCGAGTCAGAAAGTCCAGTATATGTACACCCCCGCACACATGGATGAATAGCTCAGATGAAGTCGTAAAGGACAGGAGGGCGTCAACGTAAGCGTCAGGATCTGTCCACTCCTCGGGGAGTGGCATGGGTCGAGGACGCGGCATGCGTGCGCTGAATAGGGAAATAGAAGTCAGATACAGATCGCTATGAATGTCGCATAGCACTCATGAGACCACCAACTAACTCCGATTTAATTGGCAGGCTTCTTTTTTTGACTCGATGATTTGGAGATGGAGAAATTGCGGGGAAACATTTCAACTTTTTCCAGAAATTTTTTGACTGAGGGGAAATCACCGATTGGGTTAGGCCGAGAGTAGTTTAAACAGAACTAGTATGGAGACAGTTCGTCCACCAGACATCTGAATCCGATACCTTTCCTAAGCCCTTTTGTCGTCAGTCTCATTATGATAATGTTTTTCACAGATTTGAGAATCCAACGACCGTACCCTGAGTATTCTCTGATGCCTCACGGTAACGCATGCTCTCGGACTTGTTCCCGCCAAGCCACTTTGACAACTAATCGGCGGACTATTGAGTCCATCAGGCGATAGTTGTTGTAAACTGTTGATCCTACTCTGTATGCCGACCATGTTGGTAGAGCTAGGCACTTTAGCTTCAGTCTCGATGTGCCTTCTGCTCCGCGTGATATTGCAAGGGAGCCGTGGCATTAATGAATATGCAGCGAAGGAACGGCGGATCTCCCTACGAGGATCTGTTCGTTGTCATGGCGTGAGGCGTGGCCCAGCTGCGATTCTCTGAAAAGAACTCAATTTCCCCATGGGAAAGATCTCCTGTGAGCCGGTAAGGGTCCGGTCTTACTTTGAGTTCTCACTTGGAAAATCGACCAGTCAAGCTGTGATCGTCTGACGACCCGCATAACATACCCAATCCTCCCGACAGAAACATAACAGCCAAGAACACACTCAAGTAATTCAACGCGTCACACCGTTTATAATCATTTGTCCAAGTACACTGTACACATCAGCTCATTATCCCCTTGCTGCAAGGAGGGCCAATGTGTTTGGCCACTTTATTGGATACAGTTGCAAATCTTTAACAGCAATGTTAGATCTTGGGCACCTACATAAGGGTCCTTCAGTGTCGAGGTAAGATATAACTTTGCAATCTGATCTCTTGCCTTGGGATTGGGAAAACCGAAGCATTGTGCTAAACCTGCGAACATGCAGCAGAATTCGGATGCGCAAATGGTTACAACAAAAGACGTATTCGGCCGTGTCGCTGATGTATTATTCCAAATTATCATAAACGGAGACATAAGCGCGGTTTTAAACCTCCGGCTTGTCAACAAATCGACATATGAGACGATTGGATCACTCGAGCCGCATATCTGCCGCTGGTTCATGCGCCTCCACAATATCAATGCTTTTGCTCCTCTTATCACACTGAATCCGCAGACAGGCGGCCAGCGACCTGTCACACTGCACACACTCCCAAGATTCATTTACCGTCAACATACCGCAAGTCAATTAGCACGGCGCATCATTCCTTCTGTATGGGGCCCGTACATTGATGACGGAAATCCTGAGATGGATTACAATGCTGAGTTGAAACTCACACAAACACTGGAACGCGGATTACATGTGCTCTTTCACTTTGCAGATGTCTACCATGATACCCAGATGCCGCAAGTGAAAGATGGGGCGAAATTACCTACCCATGGCCCTGGGCGGCGTCTAGTACTGACTTGGGGATCGGACCTGTACGACGACCTTCTAGAGCATAGGAGCCAATCGATGACATTCGATAAGAATATCGATCATATCTACGCAGTGTTGGAATCGGGACATGTGGAAGCGGAAATCGGCAGGAAACGGCTTCGCTTGAGGAGCTATCTTGATGAACAGAATGAAATTGATTTTCACGCTGCTCTACGAATGCTGCGGGAGCTCATGGAGCGCATGCTTCTTAGACACGGCCCAAAGGACTGGTACCGCGATGCAACGAATGAATACAGCTTGATCTCATGGTTCATCCTAAAGCAATCACCTAGGACGTTAGCGAAGCTGTTTCTAAGTCCTCAAGACGAATGTTGTCATCTGGATGACAAGACTACTGATGCTGGCGTCAGAGAGTGTCGCTTTACGGATCCCTTGGACAGTTACTGGAAGGAGCGGGAGAATGACCTGGAACTGCGATGTCACGATTGCGACTGTAGACGCCGCGTCCGGAGCTGGAGCGTGAAGCCGGCAGTGATTGACGCTCGAGGGCGGGAATTCAACCGAGCAGCGGAGAAGTATCTAAAGGAGATGTGGAGTCAAAGACATATTGGGCTCCACCGTGCTTTTACCATGGGTTACCTGAATACATTCTGACATTTGTCATATAGATACCACCTAGAGTATAGACTTATCTTGCTGCGAGTCGATTGAAATTGGAACTAATGGA